GTTGGCGTCCAGCGAGGTAATTTCCCCAGTGGAAATGAACCGTTGTAGGGACATATGAAGAGGGAGTTCGGAAAGAGGGGTTATTCCGACATCGTTGATGACTCTTGGGTATACACGGGTCCTCCTCCTCCTCCTCCTCCTCCTCCTCCTCCTCCTCCTCCTCTCCGTGCCGACGCCATTGGATATTGCGTTTGGGGAACAACCCAGGGGACGCACGAGGTGCCACTAAGAGTTCCCTGAACTCGAAGAGCACCCTCGAGGCAGATGTCTCAAGGACGCTGCCTGGCGGCAAGGCCTGCGGTCCTGCGCACTATCACGTCGAACAGTTACCAGGGTTCGTCATCTTTGAGACGCTGGCTGGCGGCAGTGCGAGCCATCGCGCGTTCGCACATAATGCAGGCCTGCTCCCGTCGGGCATTTGTTGTTTCAAGGGCGCAGCCCGGCGGCAAGGCCGGTGGTCCTGCACACACATCCCCCTTGTTCTCGCACTTCGTTTCCTGTGGGCACTGCCTGGCGGCAGCGCCAGTTTGCGTGCCTTTGCTGAGTCTGCGCGCCTGCCCTCGTCGCGAGGCAGATGCCTCAATGACGTTGCCTGGCGGCAAGGCCTGCGGTCCTGTACACTCACGTCAAGCCGTTACCAAGGTTCGTGATATTTTAGACGCGCGGGCTGGCGGCAATGCCGGCCATCGTGCGTCCGCAGATTGTGCGCGCCTGCCCCCGTCGCGAGGCTGTTGCCTCAAGGGCGTTGCCCGGCGGCACGGCCCGGTGGTCCTGCACGCCCACATCGCCCTGGTTCCCGCGCTTCGCTTCCTGTGGGCACTGCCTGGCGGCAGCGCCAGTTTGCGTGCCTTTGCTGAGTCTGCGCGCCTGCCCCCGTCGCGCGGCGGCAGTGCGAGCCATCGTGCGTCCGCAGATTCTGCACGCCTGCCCCCGTCGCGAGGCCGTTGCCTCAAAGGACGCTGGGCTGGTGGCGAGGCCTGTCGTCGTGCACATTCCCACGTGGCACCGATAACCACGGTTGTCTCTTTTGGGACACTGCCAGGAGGCAGTGCCAGAGCTCGTGCATCCGAGCCGCTTGGCGGAAAATCCGGTGGTCCTGAACCTTCTCAAGTCGAACCTCAACCAAGGTTCGTCTCCTTTTGGAAGCAGGCTGGCGGCAATGCCAGCCATTGTGCGTCCGCAGATTATGCGCGCCCACATCCGTCGAGAGGCTTTTGCCTCGAGGCTGTTGCCTCAAGGGCGTTGCCCAGCGGCAAGGCCGGCGGTCCCGCGCGTTCTCATGTCTTTCCAGTCGCCGCGTTTCGTTTTTGGGGGGGCGCTGGCTGGCGGCAGTGCTGGCTTTCGTGCGTCCACAGTCGCCACGCGCGTACCCTTGTCGCGAGGAGTTGACTGAAGGACGCCGCACGGCGGCAAGGCCGACGGTCCCCCGCGCATTCGCGAGGCCCGTGATGCCGCGGCTCTTCTCTTGTGCGCGGTCTGGCGGAAATGCCGGCTTGCGCGCATCCGCATTTTCTGCGCGGATGCCCCCGTCGCGAGGCAGTCGCCTCAAGGGCGATGCTCGGCGAAAAGGCCAGCGGTCCTGCGCTCTCGCATTGGCTTAGACTCACAGTCGTCTCAGTTGAGCGGTGTTTGGAGGCAGCGCCAGCCATCGTGCGTCCGCAGATTATGTGCGCTTGCCCCCGTCGCGAGGCACATGCCTCGAAGGCGTTGCCCAGCGGCGAGGCCGGCGGCCCTGCGCGCCCACGCCGAACCGCTACCAAGGTTCGTCTCTTATGGGGCGCTGTCTGGCGGCAGCGCCGGCCATCGCGCATCCGCAGATTTTGTGATTTGGCCTTCGTTGCGAGGCAGATGCCTCGAAGGGCACGGGATGGCGGCAAGGCTGGCTGTCCTGGCGCGCTCACATCTCCCCAGTTCTCACACTTCGTTTGGTGGCCCCTCTTGGGGCCTTCTTGGGGCCTTCTTGGGGGCCCTGGGGATCAGCGCCCCCGCCAACGCTGCGGAGTTGCGAACTAGGGGGCCCGGCGTGCCCCGTCGAGCATCTGTCGCTCGCGCACGCACGCGCGCTCAGAGTTGCGTCGCATGCGCGCCCCCACTCGCCATACATATATATATATATATATATATATATATATATATGTATTTGTTCGGCCTTCTCCAGTGTGAGGGCAGGAATGTTGGAGTCACTGCGTCTCAATTGCAACCGCCTGCAGCGGGCGCCCTGAACCTCCAACTCCTCTGGCGCGCAAGTCAAGCACGGCGCGGCGAAGAAGTTGCGAGTTTTCGCGCCACCCCAACGTTCCAAGGTGTGCGCTAGCACCCCGCGGGACAGCTGCCTTGGCCAGCGCAGTGTGACTGCGGATAGGCCGGCACGCCCAGCATTATCCTGTCGAAGAGGCCGAAGCTAGGGGCGGAAATGTGGACGTTGGATCCGCTTCGCCACGTTAGTCCGCCGCTGGCATGCTGGGTTGCGGGGGGCGAGGAGAAGATTTCACGCGCTGAC